ATATACAAAGACAAAACATTGTTTCGCTTTCAAAACCATCCCCAAAATGAGGGCATCCTCGCGTCGTATTTTCGTAGGCCATAAATCCGTTCGGCCAACATCCTCATTACCCGAAACCCGGTGTGACCCCCCTGCCCCCATTGGTCCGAATTGCCCTCCAGGGGATGTTTGCGTTCGTCTATTTGTCTTTTCACCCAATTTTTCATCCATCACTCGTATGCAAAACGCGAAATATGATTGAGCGCATTCCCGAACCCTCCCACCCCATATTTCATGAGTCCACATTGGAAATGAACATCTGCAGGGGGCACAGTGACCATTTAGGATTCTAGGCGGAAGTCTTTTTAGACTTTTTTGCACTTGTTAGCATTTTTCCGCTTCTATGGACTTTATTAAACGGTTATAACTAGAGCCAGGAGTATTAATTAACCGAATACATCCTGACTTTCAAAAATACATACTTAGAATATCGTAAATACGCATCAAATTTTAGCTGCGACGAAATATCTTTGCGTGGTTTTTCACATTATCGGGGGAAGGGGGGATTATCAGGGAAATTTTTTAAGTTGTTATTTTAATTTTTCAATAGTCACTAAATACACTATTCAAAATAATTACTACCCCATTAATTAGGCAATGCGGTATTTATATAGAAAACTGTGTTTCCTCCTGATTAGTGCCATGCCCCTCCCATAATGCCAAAGCACCTCCTTCTTATACAATCCCTTACTAGCCCTGGAATTAGCATTGCCCTTTTGCCAACCACAAAACAGCCCCCGACCCGCTCCTTCCAAAGTGTCACAATAATTGTCGAAAATTCCGCGAACCCCGTTTCCTGTTGCAACCCCAACTTCCGTCACCAATTTTTTGGAATCGCCATCCTCACACCCTAAAAACCCATCACATTGCCCCCGCGGCCATTTTCATTTGATCTCCGATTCCTATCCGTGTATTTATGTCATTATTTCTAACATTTGGATGCTTTGTATAAATTTATTTTCTTTTGAAGTGAACCGACAAATTTGATCGAACGTTGCTGACGCAGAAAGACAGATATAAAATCTACATAGATTTGCTAAAAGCAGCGTAGTCGGTCGTTTAAGATTCATAGAATTTGTTCGTTGGCTGATTTATGTCTATTAAATTAGAGTTAGAGTTCTATAAAAGAAACAAAATCCTCCACTCCACCGAGTTGGTCAAAATTAGTTCCTAGTACCTAAATTTTGCTTTTCAAGTAGGATTTCGAATAAAATGTACTTCCAAGAAGCATGTGGTAGACTCGAGCAGGTTATAATTTGAATGAACTCGCAATTCAATGCGCGCAGGCTGAAAATATTTTCCCCGAAATAATTAGTCTGGGGGACCGGAGAAGATTGGCGGAATCCCCTGGACTTCCAACTTCAGTCAAAGTGAAAATATAATCATCTACCCTTTCGGAATCACCCGTTTGATTTTATTTAGGTGTGATATAAAAAAATCGTCAGAAATATTGTCATTATATTTATTTATAGCAACATTAATGTCAGAATCTTTGCGCGAGATTAATTAATCGAGAAAATTATTTGTACTAAAAAATTTACAGGATTTTTGGAAACCTGAGACCTCAAATTTCCGCAGTTTTACGTTGTTGTGCCATGGTGCAGAATTCATCTAGCTGTTTTTAGCGCCACTCTTTCCAAAGGAGTAACCCAATCTCCATTAGGCTACGCCTGGCTACCCAAAAACAATCTAAAAATGATGCAATTTTTCAATTGAAATTAAGGATTTTTAAATGAGGTTTGATCTAATTTAAAATTCTAAAAGAGCCCCCGGATCTCAGCGGGCTTCCTCAAATTACACCGCCATTCGCATGACTCTGTTTGTCTTTCGCCCCTAATTTCTAGTTTATTCCGTTCAATGCCAAAATTTGAGGGTATTCCAGATAACTAGATATTTTTAAAATGTCTCCCGACGAGATTGACGAGATTCTGATGACGATCCAGGTTGCCGGGAACTTTTTGGGCATTTTCATCAACTCATTGTTGATCTAGTAAGTTCATTTCTACATAGAGTACGGAATGTGCATACTTGTTATAGTATTATTCTGACGCGACGACCCCGCGAAATTAGGACCTATTCCATAATATTGCTGTGTAATACGTTGAGCGATTGGGTGAATAACGTGTCGCAGTTGTTTGTGCAAAACAAGTAATTTTTAACGATTTCGTAGCCTAAAAGCCAGACATTTTCTTTGAAATAGCTGTTTTGACAGAATTGAAGAAGCTCGGAAACCGTTGGCTTACCTAAAACATCAGTAGAATTGTTTAATAGAGAATTTCCTATTTTTTTAGATAAATTTTGTTACAGAATTGTCCCCTGTGGCGTCGGGTTGGCTTACGTAAGCTTTGGCCCTTGCAAGCACCTCGGCCCCTATGCCTGTTTCTCGGGTTATATCGTTTTAATGGGTACCTTCAGCTACGGGTTCTACTTGCTGGTTGCTGCCTTTGCATACAGGTAACCCTCGAAAATTCAGATACCTGCGATACCTTAGAAAATATGTCTTATTCAATCAACCGCCGAATCACTCGTCCACTTGGGTCATATGCGCGGCTTGTATGGTCCCGGCTTTGGTGCAAATGGTAGGCACTCGCACCAAAAAAAAAATCAAAAAAAAAGTACCAAAAAATCGACTCCCCTCTAGTGGCCCAGAGAACGCTCGGATCGGGATGATTTTTAGACCATTCGAAAGCCCTTGGAACGGCGAGAAAACAAGCGCTTTTCGTTTTACAATTTTTTTAGCCCGCACTCGATATTCAACGACTTCTTAAAAAAAGCGTAACATCAGCATTGTCGTGTTAGCTTTAGGAAGCAACCAACATGGGGATTTGCATAAAATTTGCAGTTTCACGGATTTTGGTCCTGAATTTAGCGAATAAAAATGTCTAGATCGAAAAACGAGAAGTGCCTAAGCCTAAGCCGAAGCCTTTTCGAGAGCTTTCGATAGATACCTAAATCCTCAAAATCGGACATTTCTCCGAGTCGCCAGAGGGGGTCGGGTTTTTTTGGGACACCCTATATGGTAATAATATATAGAAATGGTAATACGCTCACAAACCTTATTTTTCAGACCACAGCATTCCCATCATTAGACAATGAAACAGCCGTCCGCTCCATGCTCCAAAAACAAGAGCCATTTTCCAATTATTCGGAGTATATCGTTACCGGTAGCTAAAAACGTACTACTTTTACCTATTCTGCTCTCCAGGTCACCTCAATATTTTTGATTCGTTGATAATTATAAAAATAATCTGCACATATGCTTGCTCTGCGGCCCGCTCTATGCATCGATTTTGATAATTCGGTAGGTTTACAACGCTAAGTGAGTTATTTTTACAGACACCAGACGCTAAAACATTTGCGAGACGCTTTTACGATTTCTGCAACTACAAAGCGGATGCATACCCAGTTTATCAAAGTTGGTGTTAAGAAATATGTCTTAAAGTGGTAGCAAATCTGTGAAAAATGGAGTTTAGGCCCTGACAGTCCAATCTTTCCTACCATTGTTCGGTACTCTAGCCGTGGTTGTGTATCTACCACAACAATTGGGTAAGTTTGGTTATAACATACGCACAGGGTATTTATTCGTACCTTAAAGGGGCCCCGAAATCTGGTCCACAGCCCCCTGCGTTGGGTCCTGGCAAATAGCCAGATGCGGCCGCAACGCGACCGCGTTCTACCGTTTCTCTAGTCGCTGTCTCGAAAGAACGCTTGAATTTCAAAATTCTGACGTTATTTCTGAGATCCTGACGCAATTTTCATGATTCTAGTCGTTTTAATTATGAAAATTGTCCGAAGATCACCGAGATCGTGAGATTCGTTGCGTTACAGGGCATTACGACATGTAATCGCCGCCCACTAAAAAGCCGTTTTCGCCCCGAAAACGTCTAGGTTTTCTCAAATATTTTGCGTTTTTTTGGCAACGAAATCGATTTTCTGGCACTGTTCGGCGACAATCCTTCCGTTTTATGACATGTTGATTCAATCCCGGAACACGCAAATTTTGACTTCCGAGCCCCTTTAATATTTTCAACGTTCGTGTCCGTGTTCTGAAAGAAAATTGTATCACGCCGTTTAGGTTGGCTTGACATGCCCTGGGCCAGCCACCTGATCCTCGCCACAGCACTCCCAATTACGATTTGCAATCCATTGGCAACGATCTATTGGGTTGGAACATATCGACGGGCGGCGGCCAGGATTCTTGGTTTGAACAAGACGCGTCGATTTATGATGGTCTCTGATACGCCGATGGGAGAAGTAAGGTATGTTTCAGAAGGGTTATCGCAGTTGAGTTTATTTTCATAGCAAAGACACAGAGTCCCCAAACGTAAGCCGACAAACTCCGGTTTTCTCCAGATTTTAGGATGTTGAGAAGACATCGATTCTTCTTGCTAGAATTTTCTGAATTCCTTTGACACAAATAATCCATAGTGGTGCCATTTTCGTCGTTCTAGACATTCCATGACTAACTCCGGAAAAACGTGTCTTAATTTTGTTGGTATGACTCACCTACACCCCGAAATGACCGCCAAAATAAATGAGGAAAGGCCCTCACGAGGAGAAGACTTCAAAAACTGTATCTATCTATCCTCTTTCCACTAAAAAGGCTGTTCCCCGGGCATCTTCACGAGGTCCTCTGGACGTTGGCGATAGTAATCTCACGTTGTTGGGGACTCTTTGGGCAACACACTTCACGGTAGTATCGGTATATAAGGGGGATGTTTTGGTCATTTGGGATGTTGAGAGTTTTGCTTGGATTTTTGGGCAATTTGGCTCAAGGTCGGATTTTTCGGTACTTCTAGGGTTTTTAACAAGAATTGGAATATATGCTCTACCTTTTTTGGTTTCTAGTTTGAAACAATTGAAGAAGCTAGGCTCTTCACCTTTCCATACAAAAATTTTAGCTGTTTTTGGGCTTCATCCCATTTTCAGCTATCGTGTGACCAGCTGCGCTCGCTAAAAGCATGCGCCTTATCATCGCCTTCGCGGTAAGTGAAAGCATACGGTAGCATAGTCACAATTTAGCTCCTCGGAGCGGCCCTGGCCGGAAAGGCCGCCCAGAGTTGCCGTAGTAGTTCGGATTGTGACAGGAATTTCATCTGCGAAAGAGGATACTGCCAAGACCCGAAAGAAATCGTCCTTGACGGTAATTTAAGTCTTACTTGGTAAATTCAACAACGCATACAATTTAGGTGATTGCAACAACCCGAACGAGGAGTGGCTAGACTGTGGGTTGACCACCGAGCCGACTTGTGAAGATCAGAAGACCTCACATAAGGCATGAGACTGGAGCTCGTTTTAGGCTTTAATTTAGGACTGCTCGAGGCGCGGATGCTTCTGCCGTGAGGGATATGTCAGGGACAACAGCCGAAAATGCATCCGAAAGAGTGATTGCCCGAAGAAGCCTTGTAAGTTAGCCACTTATTGCTAGCTAGTTAAAGTTTCTAAATGGTTTATTGTTGAAAAACAAAAACTAAAAAAAATTTTCACAAAAATGCAGCCCCTTCATCCGATTCATGCTTCATCGACCGTGACTGCCCATCCGGATTTGCATGCGGTTTTGGAAGGTGCACCCCATTGAAGCCACCAACTCCGAGCAGCGCGAGGGCTGGAGATCGTAAGTCTAAAAGCGGGTACATTTCAAAATTACTGTAGGATGCAGCATCAAGGCCGACTGTGGGCCAGGGCTAACTTGCCGGAATTCCCGTTGCGAGCGCGAGCAGATGAACAGCGGACGTGCTGGGGATAGTGGGTGTTTTATAAAATTCGTTAAATAATTTCATACTGTATTCGACAGGTTTACTATAAAATGGTACTTTGATCGATCTACAGTATCACCCTTCAGGCTGTCGCGCTAGCATTGAATGTGAATCTCCTCTGAATTGTCAACTCGGAAAATGCTCGAGGGGATCAGCCCCTGCGCCACTTCCATCCCAACATGAAGGCCGGGAGGGATCTCGTGAGTTTTCGCTTCAAACGAAACAAGTCACCGTCTTTAAACTACCTCCCGATACCTTTTATTACTTACTACAATTTAGGCTGCATCACCAGCTTCGAGTGCGAATCTCCTCTAAACTGCGAGCGCGGCACCTGCTCCCGCCAGACCTCTGCCTTCACTAGATTCCCCCAGGCCAGTGGCAGAGGCGGAAGTGGTAAGCCTTTCTTCATTTTTTAATAGAAAACGCATGATTTTTAATGTACGCTCCTTACTAACCAATTCTAGCCGTCGGCTCTATGCGCCAACTCTTCCCAAACACCATTTTCACCCGTCAAAACGGCGACCGCTTGCACCCAGAACAAGTCGAAAACTCGCTAACACTCCTCTTTTTCTCAAACGCAGCCTCGACGGCCGGAATCACGGTCTTTGACCAATTGAAAAGATTCGCGGAAGAGATCCGGGCCAAGGGACGACGCCTTGAAGTCATCTACCTCGGCATCGATGACCTCACCAAGGAGCGCTACGACGCCTTCCTCAATCAATTCCCTAAAGAATGGATCGCCCTACCGTACCGTGACCCGTTGGCCCGAGAGTTGTTGCCGAGATTTGGCGTCACTGGAATGCCTCATGTCACGCTTTACAAGGGCGGAAAGATATTGATCGACGATGTTCGAGAGGATTTGCATCTTTTCCATTATCGCGGGGATTCGGCCGGGATTTTCGCGAAATGGGAACGGCTCTAATTGGGTTGATCGGTATTTCGGGGTGAATAAATGATTCGATGTACGGACAGGCGGTGGAATTATGCATGTTATGTACTAACCAAAGCATGGCATTTGACAGGTGTCTAAATTTTTAGATTTTTACTTTCAAGTAAAAAAAGCACTTTTTTCGCGCTTCGTAACCTCATAAATAGCCTTATTAAGCTTAAGGGAAACGTGTAATACTGTCAAGAAAGTAATTAATTCTGTAAATAAGAATAAAAATCACAAAATTAGATTGCCGTAAGGATATTGATTGCGATCCCGGCCTCCTTTGTGCTCGCGGCCAAGTTTGTCGCCCCACCGACCGCGAGAAGCGCACCGAGAGCGAGCGTAAGTTTGTAAAAATCATGCTCTCAAAAAGTTATTCAGTGTGCGAATACACGCATCAATGTGAGGGCATCCTCATCTGCCGCGATTCGAAATGCCAGCGCTCCAGACCCTTGTAATTCGCTTTTGCTGACTTGTGAACTCGTGAAATTGCTCGTAATTTCTTTATAACACGGTGTATACTCTAAATACATGTAAACTTTTATCACCCGTTGATTTGTAACACGGCACACATCAAAGAAATTGGAACACAAGACCGGAAAGACAATGATTTCATACGATAAACGGGTTTCCAGTGGAGGTAATCGAGATTTTTTTGACGACGTGATGCGGAGAGTCGACGCGGAATGTTCCTGGAATCGCGTTATTGGTATATGCTATAATTCTTCCGTATTTTTAAAGAGCTAAGACCTACTTTCGGTGACGGATACTGCAGTGGTCCGTGTAGTATGTACAATAGGGGATATACTATGCTCTTCAGCCCCCAGGCTTGATCTTCGCCTCCCGGGTGCAAGGGATAACACCGGGGAATCGGTTAGCGTTGTTGAGTCCACGCTTTTATGTGTTCTAAACAATATATTCATTTAATAGATTTTAATGTTTTTTTTAGTTATCGGTTGTTAACGTATTTTTGGAGCTACAAACCTCAATGGCGGCCTTTTGCCTCGCTGCTGAGTTTGTAAAAGTGGGACAACCTCCGTTTCGCCACTCGTCTTCGACCATTCACGCTTCGGCGGAGATCCAGCTGAATGAGATGGAGATGTTTCCGCTGCTTTACAACTTACAGCTCGAAGACGTCCTCGATTCGGTTCTGGCAATGCGCTCCTCGTGCTTTGGCCCGATGGCTATGCTTCGATAGCTAAAAATCGCGGTCCATGAAATTATTTAATTTTTCAATTGTAAATCCGAAATAGAAAATAAATCAAAACAGACGAACCCGTGTTTCCCACCACCCGCTGGAGACGCTCGCATCTCGATGCTGCCTCTGCGCGCAGTTTCGACATGTCTTGTAACGCCTGTAATGGGTTGTCTTTTTGCCCTTAAACCAGCGTTTTGGTAACGAAAAAGCTATAGTAAAACTTACCAGGTTGTTTTGTGTAATATCGTCGATCCCCATGAGTTGGAGAATCGCTGGCGTGGCTCGACTCCGATATCCTAGATTTTAAATGGTTTTAGCCCGTTTAGATAACTAAACAGCACTTAAATCGAATTAAATGTATCAAAAATAACTGAATAAAACCGTCTTTCCAAGATAATAAGGCTGCTATGACATAAACAACCGGCCAAGAAGAAGGGCCAAAGTCCAAACCCAACAAAAAAAAACAGCTGACGTGCCCCTTGCCTCCCAGCTCAACGAAAAGCTCAGCGGACCAACCTGTGATAAACGGAGATCCTGGGCGGCGAGACATCACTACTGCTTTTGCTATAGCTCTGCTTGTTCATCGATGATGAGCTGGCTTGAGAGGAAGTGCGCGACAGCTTGTCCGGCGATTTCTCCGGCGAATATTCTGGCTTCGGGGGTGGCAGCTCGTATCGCTCCTCGATTTGCCGAAGGATTTTGGCTGATTTAAGCTAAGGAGCGCGTCGATTTCCTAGTTTTTCATTACCTCTTCCACCACCACATCCTCACCCCACTTTACGTGGGCGTTCGGCTTCGACTTTTTCTCCTTCACCGGCTTATTCTCGTCGAATTGGCCTTTATACTAAAAAAAATTAACTTACGCAATTTTTGTATTTATAGCTTCTATGCCCTCTTCATTCTTAATCCAATGCATTTTTCCAAAGCTACCTCTATACGTGTGCTTTAACGGTGTGTTTGGCAAAATTCCGCATAAAAATTTTATCGAGCGATCAGTTTTGAGAGTTTTTCTTTCAAGCCACACCGTTAAAGCTACCAAGGCACGCCTTTTAAAAAGAACTTAAAAATCACACCTCCATCGGACCGCCGCCCCAACTAGCCGTCCGCCACAGCCCATTTTCCTTGGCTTTCCGGACGCGCTCGCTGCACCGCTCGAAGGCGCTCTCACGGCGTCGTCTTTGCGCCTCGAGTTTCTGAAAACAATCGTTAATTACTTGCTTTTTGTAGCTTTTAGTTTCTACCACAAAACTATATAGTTCAAGCGCGTACTTGACCCATTACATAGTGTAATACCCGCGGCGCCTCTCGGAATAGGCGGTCGTAACCGATTCCCGGCGGCACTTTTTCTGTACTTTGCTCCCCTCTCCCGTCTTATCAATCATCAATCCATTTCCAGCCACCCTTTTGAGCGCAGCAAACTCCACCGATGATTGGGCGACAAATAACACGCCGGTCCACGACTGTAACAACCACAATAAGGTCGGTATCCCTTTCAATCGTCAAAAAATTGTTTAGAATGGCTTCTGGAGCAACGAAATACGCACACGCCAAGCTTGGAGAATTCACACAAACGGAACCGGTCCTGCACAACACTTTTACCGATGACCCGATGATGGAGCGGGTTTTGAAGCGACATTTATCTGCTTCGGACTATCAGAAAGTACTTTTTATAGCCTTGCTAAAGCATGTATATAGGTTGCACAAGATCTGGACAAATTTGGCGACCGAGTGGTCAAGGAGATTACGGCTAAGGGAGCGCAATGCGAGGTTTGTTTTTTAATTGATTGCGAAACATCTTTTTCTTTGCATTTTTAGATTGACAAGCCTCGCCTCGAGCAGCACGATGCATGGGGAAAGCGAGTGGATAGCCTTTGGGTTTGCCCGGAATGGCGTCAATTAAAGGGTGTTTGCGCTGAGGAGGGAATTATTGGTAAAGCACTTTCAGAAATACCTAATTCCCCCGTTTTTAGCAATTGGCTACGACGATACAACGGATCCGGTGGCTCGGCGAATGCATCAGGTTGCAAAATTATTTCTCTTCTCGCCATCAGCTGGGCTTGTTACTTGCCCGATGGCTATGACTGATGGGGCCGCGAAAACTATTGATGTGAGTCAATTATTGGAATGACTGGAAGATCTTTTTTAGGCCTTGGGACTCCGCGGAAAGAACGATCTGGCCACCGAAACCTATAATCGCCTAACCTCTCGAGATCCCCAGAAAGCTTGGACCAGTGGTCAATGGATGACGGAAAAGCGAGGCGGATCAGACGTTGGAGGTGGATGCGATACTTATGCGGTTCATGTGAAAGGGGATGAGGTATCGCTTCCAAACATTAAATTATAACAATTTTTAGTACCGGCTTCACGGATACAAATGGTTCAGCTCGGCGATTGACGCCGATGTGGCGTTGACGCTGGCCCGCGTGGTTGATGATAAGGGAGATGCTCAAGCGGTAAATGTTGCGTTGAACTGCAAGTTACTAAGGGTTTCAGGGCTCCAAAGGATTGTCTCTCTTCCTGCTCAAAATTCGCAAGGATGATTCGCAGGAGCTGAACGGGATTCAGATGATTAAACTCAAGAATAAACTCGGTATCATTATTTCCTTAACTTTATTTATATTTAGGCACCAGACAGCTACCGACAGCCGAATTACTGCTCGATGGCGTCGTAGCTTATAGACTAGGCGATGCTGGACGGTAAGTAAAGCTAAATATTCATAATTTTCTATTTTTAGTGGAATCCCCCACATTTCCAACATGCTGAACATCACCCGAATTCACAACGCCGTGGCGAGTGTGGCCGGGATGAGGAGGTAGCTTTTTCTTCCTGCGAAAAACTGGTTGGTTTAGAATCTTATCGCTAGCCCGTGATTATTCGACTCGCCGTCTCGTTTTCGGGCAGCCTCAGGAGAAATGGCCGCTCCATCTTGCTACCCTCGCCAAATTGGAGGTAAGTTCGTAGAGGGAGTGCTTCATTGCCTTTGAACTTTTAGGTTGAAGCCCGCGGTTGCTTCCTAATGCTGATGGATGCTGCTCGATTGCTGGGTGTTCAGGTATTCCTTGAAGATAACCGAAATTTATTTTTCTAGGAATCCGGCAAAGCCACGCTGAACGAGCTGGTCATGTTGCGCTTGATTACGCCGGTGTTGAAGCTGTACACTGCCAAGCAGGTAGAAATTGTTTAAATTTAATTTGGTTTTCGTGTTTAGTGTGTCCCGCTGATCAGCGAGGGCATTGAGTGCTTCGGTGGGCAAGGTTATATCGAGGACACTGGCTTGCCGACCTTGTTGAGGGACGCCCAGGTATTTTTTGGGCATCTATTAAAATTATTGCTAGGTGACCCCAATCTGGGAAGGCACCACCAACGTTCTTTCGCTTGATGTTCTACGCGTCTTCTCGGGCAAAGAAAACGTCTTCCAGGCCTTGAATGAGTATATCAAGGCGATATTGCCAAAAGACGGTAAGCTTCTTGGTAAGAAATTTACTTTTCTTCTCTTTAGTGAAGCCCGAGCTGAAATCAAGCGTTGATGCCGTCAAGAAGGGAATGGTTCAATTTGGGCAGATTTTGGCAAAGGTCAACGATTCCTCGCTGAACAGCCAGATGCGAGTCGACGTGTGCGCACGGGATATCGCGTTTGCGATTGGGAAAATATTATCAGGTACGACAAAAAAATTTTGGCTCACAGCAAAGCATATAGGCTCTCTTCTGATCCGCCACGCTAGCGATGCTGATAGTACGACTGCAGATATCGAAGTGGCCAAGAGGTTTTGTCGGCTTTTTGTAGGATAAATTGGTGAATATTTCTTGTAGATGGTGCCTGGAGCAAGAACTCGTGCGACTCGATCTCGAATGGTTCACCAAGCAGCGTATCGCCAACGATCGTGCCATCGTTTTTGAGAACTATGCGGGCAGCGCTCGGCAAAGCAAGCTGTGAATTAGTTTTTTAAGCATTGTACATTCATCACTTGTGATTTACGTTTAGAAATGGGTTTTCTTGAAGCTGGTCTTTGTAAACATTGCACTAATCCTTTTTTGCTCAATAAAACGAAATATGAAGTTTTCAAAGTGGTAGAAAAATGGGAGACCTTTCTCCCGCTCCCCTTAAAACCGACTAACGCGTCTTCTCCACGTTTTTCCGACAGACGAAGGCTCAACACCCGCCTGTTTCGTTGAGCACGAAATTCGAGCCGCCGATCCAAGATAAATTTTGCACGCGAGCAAACCCTAGCACAATCTTTCCCACCTTCCCACGAGCCACCCCCGGCTAACGACTAGGGAAGGAGGGAAAGCCGGATGACGCAAGCAGTTACAACGGAATATCATGGCACCCTCACTTCGTGGACAGAGTGAGAGAGAGAGAGAGAGAGAGAGAGCGAGACAGCAATGGACAACCGACACCCTCGCCACAGAAAGAGAGGAGAAGCTCCACCTGGCCGTTTGGACAGATGATGGACGCGGCTGGGCCACATAGTGGTGGAGGATTATTAATCAGCATGGCAAGGTATTTTTCGGCAGGGAATAGCGAACGAAGAAACAAAATCCTGCAACCACGCCTTCGAGTAGCCCGAAAAAGTGATAAAAATGAACTTACACTCAAGTAGAGCGAGCATTTCACTACGGAGGTGAAAAGGTAGGTCTGGAAGGCTGCGAGAAGGAGGAGAAGCGTGGCCAACCACATCCGTTCGAGGAAGGATTGGAGCTAAAATGGGTTGATTTATATTTGTCATATTTAACTCGTAGCTAGCGTAGTTTTTTTAGCTTCACCAACACTCAACTTTCCGGGAGCAATCAACGATTTCGGATATTTGAATTGATTTAACTTGTTTTTGCGCATACCTATCGGGGTAGTTTTAAAAAAAAATTAAGTCCTAGCCCACAGAAGAGCGTATTTTTTCTTCTTTTTGGCCATACTCAAGCCTTCGATCCGTTAATCCTCCCTCTTTCCCCTAAAGCCCCCGTTGTTTTGACCACCACATCGCCACCCAGCGTGACCCAAAGATTGGAATGATCGACCTCTACCCTCCCTCTCCCGCCTATCGAAACACGTGGAGATTGAGGTGGTGGAGGATATCTATCTATCAGTAGGGCCCGCGCCCCGCGACGATTCCGCATTACACAAAGCTGCGCCTCACCGCCGAGGGCAGCCCGCCACATTGAACCCCTCCCTTTTATTGGAGGGCGATTCCCTCTTGCTCCTCTTTCAAGGACCACTTTATGTACCTGGGGTTGGGGCCATAAAACACGCTTAACATTGGGTGTTGATGAGGGTTCCTTATGATCCGAGTTGCGATTGGGAGGACGTGAGGATTGGGAACTCGTGAAACGGCTTGAAAGCGAGGATTTTACGAGTCGAGAAAAAGTGGAACTAGCTAGCATAAAACCGGGTTTATGCACCAAGAAGGGTTCAAATCGGTGGGGCTCAAAATACTCGACATTTTTCTGGTCAGATCTTGAAATCGAAGCTGAGAAAAAGAGAACAACTCACATGAAACGTCTCCTGATTCGTGTACAGGTCACCGTAGAAGTAGGACCAGGCATAGAGGAAAAAGTAGCCGAGGGAGAAGAGCAGGAAGAAGCCCTGGACGAAGAGGTGGGGGAAGAGGAGGGTGGACGTGTCGGAGAGGATGCCGCAGAACATCAGCAGGACCTGAA